AACATAAAGGGCCATGAACTAGAGTTAAGTAGAGAAATAACACTTAAGCTCTGATTTTTTTTTCCACAAATAATAGTGGAGGTACAAAATAGCTTGTTAAAGGTAGTGATGTCCAAATGGAGTCTGACATACTTTAGTTAACAAGAAAAAAATGAATAAAATTGTACTGTATAAAGAAGCTTGAAGCAGTGAGATCTAATGTCAAGACTTTTAAAGGGTCTATCCTTTATTTTTCTTGGGTAATTCTAACACTAGTTCATTATGTAGACTTTTCTTTTCTTTCTTATTTTTAGAAAGAGCAATGATAGGTTCTCACTATATTCCCAGTCTGGTCTCAAACTCCTGGGCTCAAAAGATCCTTGCCTCTGCTGGGACTACAGATGTGTACCAATGTGCCCAGCTTAAATATACAATATTTTATGAGACTGTCCATGACTCGTATAATAATAAAAATTGCCCTAAGAATTATTGCAGAGAGCTAATATATGGATTTTATAATTTATTTTCTTATAAAAACTTTCTTGGGATTTTGAATCTTACATTTGACAAAGATATAAACTAAAATTTGACTAAGATACACTAATAATTTAGTACAGTATACATATATTTTAATAGAACAAAGTTTATGGCCAGGTCTGTTTTTTTCTTCTTCTTCTTCATGTCTCGTTCTGTTACCCAGGCTGGAGTGCAGTGGTGTGATCTCGGATCACTGCAGCCTTTGCCTTCTGGGTTCAAGCAATTCTCCCGATGCAGCCTCCCGAGTAGCTGGCACTACAGGCACCTATCACCGTGCCCAGCTGATTTGTGTATTTTTATTAGAGACGGGGTTTCACCATGTTGGCCAGGCTGCTCTCAAACTCCTGACCTCAAGTGATCCTCCCACCTTGGCCTCCCAAATTGTTGGGATACCAGGCGTGAGCCACCACGCCCGACCCAGGTCTGTTATATGGTAGCTTCTGTGGTTCAGTTTCAGGTTATATGCAAGACATTTTTTCCTTCCTAAAACTTTTAAAGCTCACAGATAAGATTAATATGTAGCCTGGGTAAGATCAGGAATGGTAATATTGTCATAAAAGAAGGGGATTGCAGGTGGGATGTCTAAAAAGTAGTGAAAGTATCAGGAGGTGACAAATAGAAATGTTTGCATATTATTCTCCGTTGAGAAAAGTTGTGACACTCTTTGTGTGCTGGGTGGGAGAAGAGTTCAGTGATCAATTACTGCTGCTTTTCCTGGGTCATGGAACAGGGAAACGTGGGCTATTTGTCTTTTGTTTGCTGAAGTTGTAAGTAAAAGAGTATCTTGATACTATTCTAAAGAGTAGAGAACAGCAATTCATTAGGGTGGCATAGGTTGATAGAAACATTCTATAAGTGACTGTACCATTTAATATTCTCACCAATATGAAGGTTCTTTCCAGTTTCTCCAAGTCCTTGCCAACAATTAGCATTGTCTGCATTTGATATTCTAGGGGTGCGAAGTGGGATTTCATTGTGGTTTTAATTTGAATATCCCTAATGAGTAATGAAGATGAACTTCTTTTCATGTTTGTATTGGCCATTTCTACATCTTCTCTGGTGAAATGTCTATTAAAATCTTTTGCCCATTTTTTATAGTGTTTTTGTTTTAAAAGATGGGGTCTTACTCTGTTGCCCAGGCTGGAGTGCAGTGGCATGATCATGGCCCATTGCAGCCTTAACCTCACAGGGTCAAGTGATCTTCCTCATTATCCCAGGTAGCTGGGACTACAGGTATGCACCAGCATATCTGGCTAATTTTTTTAAAAATATTTTTTTTGTAGAGACAAGGTCTTGCTGCGTTGCCCAGGCTAGCCTTGAACTCCTGGACTTAAGCAATCCTTCCACCTCCACCTTCCAAAGTGCTAGGACTACAGGTGTGAACCACTGTGCCAAACCTTTGGCCACTTTTTAATTCGTTGTTTACCATCTTACCATCTTAATTATGGAGTTGTAAGAGTTTTCCTTTTTATACTTTAGATACAAGTTTATTATTGGAGATATGATTTTCAAACATTTCTTCTAGTCCATGGCTTGTCTTTTTACTTTCTTAATTGTATATTTTGAAGTGAAAAGGTTTTGAATTTCAGTGATGCCTATTAATGTTTTTCTTTATTTCCTTTGTGTTTACTTTTGTAAAATTATTACATAATCTAAGATCACTACTCCTATGTTTTCTGCTAAGAGTTTTATAGTTTAATTTAATTCTTACTTGTAAGTATACAACATAGTTCAAGTTACTCTTTGTGTATGGTGTGAGGTAAGAGTTCAAGGTCATTACTCTGCATGTAGGTATCTAATTGTCCCAGCACCATTTGGTGAAAAAATAATTCTTTCCTCTGTTTAAAGGTATTAGTACCTTTGTCCAGAGAGACTTTCTTGTTATGAATAATTCTCATAGCAAATCAATACACATAAATCTGGCTACTATATACTATAGTCAGTATCCTCATCGTGTTCACAAAGAAACTGAAAGGCAATGCTAAATCTATAAATTTCTGATGTATAAGATACTGTACTATTGTGCTAAGTCTTTGATAGTATACAGGGCATATCTAAATACAGGGCAGTGGCTATAGACGTTAACCAAATAATAACATATTTGTGGTTATGAACTGTAAGTGCTGAAATTATTTTTGTTTCTAAAAACAGTAATTCAATAGTAAAGCTATTATCAATTATACTTTTTTATAGTACTGGAATATAAATTTCTAATTGATTTTATAAATTTAGACTTGGAAAATGTTGTCATAGTCATATTAATAGTTTTAGTTGTGTTGGTTGTAAAAAGAAGCTGCATAATAAAAGTCTAAAAATTCAGTGGAGATGGAATTTATTCCTTAGATTCCATTGAGCACTGAGCTGAGCATTGGGCATTTATCATATTCTTTTGCAAATGTTTGCATTTTAATTTTCCTTTGAGGGTTAAAGCTGAGACAGATTTTGTTCTTGTGTCTCTGAGTAAGTCACTTAACTCTTTGTGCCTCAGTGTTCTTTTCACTTAAATGGTGCTATGAATCTCATACGATTCTTGTGAGGATTAAATACATTAATCCATATAAAATATTGAAAACGGTGCTTGATGCATAGTAAGCGTTGACTACTATCCATCACTTGAATGTAAGCTGTTTGAGGGCAGAGATTGTTACTTTAATTCACTAATATATTCTAGTCCCTTAAACACATACCTGACACATATCTGGTGTTTAAAAACTGTAGAATGAATTATGTAAGACATAAAATGCTGGTTTCTAATAGGGAAAATTGTGGGAATTTCATTAGACTTATGCTAATGGGCTCATCATGCCATTGAAAATCTCTTCCCAATTCTCTCTCTCTCTCTCTTTTTTTTTTTTTTTTTTTTTTTTTAGCAATGGAGTTTCACTGTGTTGCCCAGGCTGGAATGCAGTGGTGGGATCTTGGCTCACTGAAAGCTCTGCCTCCCGGGTTGAAGGGATTCTCCTGCCTCAGCCTCCCAAGTAGCTGGGATTACAGGTGCTTGCCACCACGCCAGGCAATTTTTGTATTTTTAGTAGAGACAGGGTTTCACCACGTTGGCCAGATTGGTCTCAAACTCCTGATCTCTGGTGATCCACCCGCCTCAGCCTCCCAAAGTGCTGGGTTTACACACGTCAGCCACCATGTCGGGCCCCCATTCTTTACCTGTTACCTGTTTAGCTTTACACGAGAGTGTATGATGTGCAAATAGGGTGCACCAGATTGGAGTTACTTTTGTAAACCCTTGATTTGGAACAATGTTATATAAGGGAATGGGCAGTTTTACAGAGACTTATGAACTAAATTAAGATACATGTAGAGTAAGTCATAAATAAAATTGGAAAACAATCCTGTTCTCACAACATACCCACTTAAAGAATTGAAACAATTTGGAGAAAAACCCTGGCAGAACTACCAGATGGTAGTGAGGACTGTGAAGTGAAAGTGTGGCAGAAAAGACGAGTTGGAATGAAAACACCTCTTGGTGTTTGCAAAGTTCCCTACACATGTATTGAATTTCCAATAACATTTAGGATGTTTTGAGAGATGAAGAATCCGTTTCTAGAAATAAATTTAAATTTGAATCCCATAGTCAGAGATGCCTTGGAAACTCTCATTGTTTACTACCTGGAGCTGCATATTGTCAAGTCTAGATTCTATCAAGTGAAGATTCTTTAAAAGCAAAGAGAAATTTGATCACTATGGGGAGTAGGTAAAGTCAGTTGCTGAAATGAATAGGAAATGGACACAGTTTCAAAGAGAAAGTGAGAGTATCCGAGTTGGCTCTTTCAATATTCTTCTTGACAGATGTACCATCTTCCAGCTTCTTTTCTCGAGTGAGTTAAGGAAGCCAGTCTTAACAAAGAAGGACTCTCATGTGTCTCCCTGTATGGAAGACAGTGCCTCTAATTGCATTTGGTTACTCTTAAAAGCCCTTGTTCTTGTGGTTTGAGCTCTTGTGGTTTTCAGGAAAAAGTTTGAGGAAAGCAAATATATTTATTTTTGGAAACCAAAGAGGCTGATGCCATTAAAATGTGTCCAGTACATCTTTTTAAATTGAAATATAATGTTAAATGTCTCTGGAGCAAGTGACTTAATAATGCAAGGTGTTTCTTTGCAATCTGGGTTAGTTCTCTTAATTTATCTTAATGTTTTCCTGTTATTTCAATGGGTTTGTTTTGATCTAAATCTGTATATACTGATTTAAGCTTTGATTTGTTTTGAGAGAAGAACAATTCTTGTTCAGATCAATTCTGTGGATTTATCCTGCATAGGAAGGAAGTGGATGACAGGTATGGCTGAGGTTTTCCTAGGAAATTCAGTACTTGCCATATTGGGCACTGACTGGGAGGAGATGAGGATCATGGATCTAGTTTTTATAAAATCAAACCAAGCCAAACCAAGTGAAACAAAGGAATAAGGGAAAGCCGAGAAGTTGCCAAGCAACCAGAATTTGGAATTCTTGTTTCAGTCGGAGAAGAGTTCATGAATTCAGTATCATGATAATAAGATAATGCTACATCGTACCCGTGTGAGTACTTTAAGCTGTGGAAGATTTCTCACGTACGTTATCACAGGTGATCCTCAGAACACTGTTAGGGTAATGGCAGGGCAAGGTGTGCCTTTATTAAAACCATTTTGTCAATAGTGAAACTGGGTGTATTAATTTCCTAGGGATGCCATAACAAATGTCCACAAACTTCGTGGCTTCAAACAACAGAACGTTATTCTCTTATAGTTCTGGAAGCTAGAAGTCAGAAATCCAGTCAGCCGGGCTGTGTTCCTTCTGGAGGCTCTAGGGTGTCAGTCCCCAACCTTTTTGGCACAAGGGACCTGTTTCATGGAAGACAGTTTTTCCATGGATAGGGGATGGGAATGGTTTTGGAAGGATTCAAGCACCTTAAATTTATTGTGCACTTTATTTCTATTATTATTACATTATAATATATAATGAAATAACTATACAACTAATCAGAATGAAGAATAGTGGGAGCCCTAAGCTTGTTCCTACAACTAGACGACCCCATCTGCAGGTGACGGGAGGCAGTGACAGATCATCAGGCATTAGATTCTCATAAAGAGTGTGGATCCTAGATCCCCTGCATGCGCAGTTCACAGTAGAAATTGTGCTCCTATGAGAATCTATGAAGAATTCTGCTGCTGATCTGACAGGAGGCGAAGTTCAGGGGGTAATTTAAGCAATGGGAGTGGCCATAAATATAGATGAAGCTTTGCTTGCTTACCCACCTCTCATTTCCTGTGGTGCAACCCAGTTCCTAACAGGTGGCGAACCACTGCAGTCCATGGCATGGGGACTGGGGACCCCTGCTCTAGGGGAGTATTCATTTCTTGTCTCTTCTGGCTTCTGGTGGCTGCTGGCATTCCTTGCCTTGTGGCCACATCCCTCCCATTTCTGCCTCTGTGACCACATTGCCTCTCCTATATGGTGTCTTCTCCACATCTGTGTCTCAAATCTCCCTCTACCTTTCTCTTATAAGGACAGTTGTCACTGGCGTTAGGACCTGCTCAGATAGTCGAGAATGATCTCTTCATCTCAAGATACCTGTGTGCTTTCAATGGTTTGCTGTCCCATGTATGTTAAAGAAAAATGAAATGGTCTCAGCTGGGCGTGGTAGCTCATGCCCGTAATCCTAGCACTTTGGGAAGCCGAGGCAGGTGGATCACAAGGTCAGGAGTTCAAGACCAACTTGGCCAATATGGTGAAACCCCGTGTCTACTAAAAATACAAAAATTAGACAGGCGTGGTGGCCGGTGCCTGTAGTCCCAGCTACTGGGGAGGCTGAGGCAGGAGAATTGCTTGAACCTGGGAAGCAGAGGTGGCAGTGAGCCAGGATCATGCCATGGCACTCCAGCCTTGATGACAGAGTGAGGTTTTGTCTCAAAAGAAAAAGAAAGAAAGAAAAATGAAACGGTCTCATTTCAAGAAAATTAAGATCTTAAAATGAAGAGTATACAGCTGAATTAATAAAAATGAGTGAGTGACTGTTAAATTCAAGGGTCAAGAGGTCTTATATATTTGGCATTCATCATGTTAAACAAAATGAAACAGACTTTTAAATTACAAATGTGTCAAAGTCCTTAGTATATTTCTGTGCATTTTGAATTTCCAAGGCGAGTGTAATGTTTCCCAAAATTAGATGAAAAAGAGAATTCCTTTTTGTCAGACTTCGGGGACTAGTGGGCTTCAAGAAACACTTTAGGAAAACAGTACATTTCCTGCTTGACAAAGAGAAATTTAGCTCAATTACAGTGAATGGCCCAGGAGAAGAGTTATACAGGTAGCTATCATTTATTGAGTATTTACTATGAGTTAGGTACATATTAAGTGCTTTAGATGCATTAACGTTTAATCTTTACAACATACTTTTTGAGGTAGGTTCTATTATAATTATTTTACAACTGGGGAAACTGAGGCAAAAAGATTTACACAACTTGTCCAGATTTACACGGCTAGTAAGTGGTTGAGTTTGGATCCTAATCAAGGTAACCTTCTTAATCAAACTTGCTATCATAACCACTGTATTATTCTAATATTAAAATATTCTAACAAAGCAGCTCTAGTGTAACCAAGAAGTTAATAAATAAATATGAATACATATGCATATCATGTATATATTTTTTCAGTCTCAAGACTTTGGAAAGGGGTACTTGGGCTACTTTGGTCTGTATTCAGTGCCAGGGAAGTGAGGCTTGCTGTCCAATCCGTCTGTCATTGTTTCTTTCATTTAGGGTTCTGAGAAGCGGTGAAGCTAATGTTCTGAAGGAGACAAAGAAGTATGTTGCTGTGTTCTCAAGACAAATATCAAAGACGTTTCAGTACTCAGGTAATTTACTAGATTTGCTTCTAGAGCTATTTACTTCAAAGCTTCAGTAAAAATGAGAGAGATGCCAAATGGTGTTTAGTTCAGCAGAGAGACATCTGGACCCTTCTCCTGGATCTGGCCTTGCTGACAGGAAATTTCTCCTGACAATTGCAGGGCTTTGGTGAGGTGGAAGAAATTTCTTTTCTCTTAAGATAAAATTCCAAATTATTATTTTTTGAACATTCTCCATTAAATTTTCTGTAGTCCACTGAAAGCTTGTCCTTGCAGTTAACAACTACGGCCATCGCTCCACATTTACTTTAGGAATGAAGGTTGAATTATTTAAGAATGAAGAAGGGACTACCAGATAGAACAAGACTGCAGAGCCCTATTTCATGGGGTGGCATTAACCTCAGAGGATCAAATCAGTGATTGTTAGCAAAGTGCTTCAAACAGTGACTGCCACACAGAAGGGCTTGCTTACTAACTCAATAAATTAAAACAAAACTGAGGGAGAATGTGCCTTCTCTGGGGATAGTCCTGGGACTTGTGAGAAAATCCTAAAGGACTCAGCTGTTGCCCTCAAAGCAGGAATTTGTTTGCAAGTGAGCTGAGCTCAACATGCAATATGTAGTGATTTCTAACTTTTTAAGCCTTGGTGGTTTGGAACAGTAACAAACGCTTCCAAACGATGTGTAGCTTCCATCCAGATGGAAGAAGGAAGGGCCATCAAATCTGCCAGGATCCTTAGGAAATATAGTGAGATATTATTATCATTGTTTTCCAGACATGGAAATTGAGTCTCAAAGAGGTTAGGTTTCTTGCTCAGGTTAACTCAGAGTGAGGATTTAAGCCCACACTTCTCTCAAGCCCACATCAAGACGCTTCCACGGCACTACTCAAGGCAACCAGGCATGACCAGCAGATAGTCTCATTAGAACAAGTATGTATGTATATATGCATTTCTACTTCTCTTTTTGATCTTATGGAACTCTGTTCCTCGTGAGACAATAATTCTTGTTGCATGCTTTAAATTGACAAAGTTCCCTTCACTGAACTAATGCTTTCCACGGTGGACTCAGAGAGATTATGGAGTGCTTATTAGGTGATATGAGACCTAGGAGAAGCTGTTATATGCTCTGGGAAAATGGGAATTTGTATCTTCTTTATAAAAAATAACTGGTTGAGTCAGGAAATAATTTAAAAGTTTGGTTGTATCTGATCAAGGTTCGCTCATTTGGTAAACCTTTTTTGAAAGCAGACTTTCATGTGAGAGCTCTACTGGGCTTGGGGAATATAAAAATCAGAAACACATGCATCTTGTAATGAGCTCACAACGTAGTGTATACACAATCTAATTGTATAACTTTGTTATTCAAGGCATTAAATATTGCAAAAGAAACAAAAACGATTAACCACTGAGCTAATGTGTTCCACCAAAAATTAATCTGTTTCAGCAAAAAGTTTTGTGTATGCATACAAATATAGACACATAAAGGTAGGTATAGGTATTTGCAATCACTTTCTCTCTTATGTATGCCAAAGTCTAGCCATAATGAGTAGCAAAAGGCTAGGATAATTTATATTAGAAATAAAAAAAAAAAAGAAATGAGATCAAAATACTAATAAAAAGGTGACAAAATAAATTCAGTCAAACCAAATTGTACTTACACTATAATGACTACTAGCTACTATTTGTGGAATAGCTAGCTATCTGGGTCAGACGCCATGTATTTTTAATACTATGTCTCATTTATTTACTTACTATGGGGTATTTTCCACATTACAACCCAATGATATGTTTCGCTTGCTGTCTGTGACTGGCAGTACAGTAATCCAAGTACCATGGTCTGTTATGTTTTCATCCTCCTTAGACAATGTTCATGAAACACGTAGCCGGCATAAGCATCTTATCCTTCTCTCTTCACTCACTGAAAATATATATTGGATATCTGCTATTAACTGTAGTATACATCTCCTAATATTTTCTTAAGACTTAAATTTCAGGGAACCAGAGGTAAAATACGGTAAAAAGCCTACATTCTGCTTCTCATTTAAAAAACTCCAAAGCATGGTTTATATGTTCTAATTTTGTAGATGGTATGAAAACTGCTTTGTGATTAATTTTGAAATTGCACATATCACGAGAAGATGATTATTTCTAGAGACCTTAAGCCTAAATGTGCTTTAGAATAACATACTAAATAACAGGAATTACAATGATGAGGTGAAATCATTTCCTCATTTTAATCTTTCTACGCCTCTCCTTTAGTTCCTAAAACTGATTTTTTTTTCCTATTTAGTTCTTTGAATCTATTTTTGCTTTAGCATAATGAATAACTTTTATTTTCTGCAACTGCTGGAGCCTATACCTTATTCTTCAAGATAAGTGGCTAAGAAATGAGTGCTGTGGGCTCTGTTTTTTTCAGGAAAAAACGTTCAGGATGAATCTGTAGAATCAACTGTGTCTTTTGTGTCTGTTATTTTTCACTGAGGGCAAATGGATCTACCTCACCCTCAGACCCCCATCAGGCAAGTTTGCCTTTCCTTTTCCCATCCGCAAGACAAATTAAGAATGCTGAAACCTTTCACTCATAACAAAACAGTGATAAAGCAGGTAACAAGACCTCACATTAATCAGGTCTTTCAAAGAAGAGGCCGCAACCTGCACCCTTTGTCTAGCCTGCTGGTAGGTGGGTTTTTTTCAGACTCTTTTTAGGGGCCTAGCATTCTTTAGTTCGGCAGCACATTCTCCTTGGAAATGTTTCACTTTTCAGACAGCCTCTGTGTTGATCAAAAAACCCAGAGAGCCACTACAGAAACCTGAACTTCTAATGATCTTCTTTTATATTTTCTTACAATGGACAATGGCTCTCTCAATGCTAATGGCAACAGTACACAGGCAACAATGCAAAGAGATGGAGGGTGGAGAGAGTAGCCACTATCACAAGATGTGCTGTATCATCTTGGTGGAAAAAAAAATCCCGTTTTCTGTAGCCAAATTGTTGCTATCTCTTGTTGAAAATACTCAAGGTTCCTGCAAACCAATGCTAAGATGAGAAAAGATAAGAGTAGATGAGTAATTTTCTTCTCAGGAGGAAAACATTACCTTCAGTTAAATGGTAATAGACCAGTTTTCTTGTATTGTAATCTTTTTCACTAACATCACAAAAATAGCATAATTTCTCCCTTAACTTCCTTCATGGCAGCCTTCGACCTGTTGTTTCCAGGCTAAATTGTGCGTACGCTGTACATACAATTACGTTGAGTCAAGCACGCCCTCTACTGATCAATAAAAATATTACCGAACAGGATTCACCGGAATACTGAACTCACAAAGGAAAGATATTTTGGGCAGTTTTACTTGCGAGTGTGTTTTTCAAATATTGCAAACATTAGAAAATTGTAAAAATTTATATATTAGATTCATAGAAACATAATCACATTTAAATTAATTTTTAAAAATAATTTTAACTTGTACTACTAATATAAATTTACAAATTGCTAAGGGTTGATCAGAAAAGTTGAAATCACTTCTCTTAAAGTTTTTTTTTTGGGGGAGGGGAGGAACTAACATTTTAACAATACATGCAAATAAGTTATTGTTTTAAAGCAAGGGTTGGCAAACTTTTTCTGCAGTGAACCAGATAGTAAATATCCTAGGCTTCGCTGGACTGTAAGGTCTCTGTTGCAACTACTTAACTCTATTATTATTGTGCAAAAATAGCCATAGACAATATGTGAATGAGTGGGTGTGGCTGTGTTCCAATAAAACTTTATTTACACAGACAAACCAGGCTGGATTGATTTGGTCTATAAAACAGTGAACTTAAAGGTTTATTGAACCATAAAAGAATGTAAACACTCGCAAAGTGTTGCATTCTTTAAAATAAAAGTTACTCTGGAATAGGAGGCTGTAATTTTAGCTTGAAGGCTGACATGACTTCGAAACATTCTGAAACTTTTTCTTTTTGGTTAGTTCCCTAACTCAACTTACAAACATTGTTAAAAATAATGAAAGGTTAGAACCCACGGGCCCTCAAAGATCATATATTGCAATTATCTAGTTTACAGATGAGGAAACTAAAGTCTTGAATTTCCTGAATACTACTCCAGCCATCGATATTCTTTTCTGGATCAGCTGTCAATGACTTTTGGTTACTTTGATAAGTTAATGCATGGAATAATTTCACAAACTAGAAGGACTTAAACAAATATGACTGTTATTAACAAGTTAGGAAAAGACAATTACAGACATTTGTATTTTCTCACCCTTTGAAGATCATATCTACATGAATGATAAAACTACAGCAAGTCAATAACATCTCCCTCTCTTGTAACCACCACAAGTGTTAGCAATATTAACTCATAAAGATATTTTGTATATCATAATTTCATAGATTTGCAAAACTTTATTGGCAGTTGGATACAGAGACGACTGTAATTTCTCTTGGCATTTGAGCAAAATTATGAATTATTTGTGTTGATGCATGATAACCAAGGATAGAATCTTCACTGTTAAATTATGATTATTGTTATTATTATTATTTTTTTGAGATGAAGTCTCACTCTGTTGCCCAGGCTGGAGTGCAGCAGTGTGATCTTGGCCCACTGCAACCTCTGCCTTCCAGGTTTAAATGATTCTCATGCCTTAGTCTCCTGACTAGCTAGGATTACAGACTTGTGCCACCATGCCTGGTTAATTTGTGTAGTTTTGATAGAGATGAGGTTTTGCCATTTGCCCAGTCTGGTCTGGAACTCCCGGCCTCAAATGATCCTCCTGTCTCAGCCTGCCAAAGTGCTGAGATTACAGGCATGAGCCACCATGACTGGCCTTACATTATTTTTTAATGCCAGATAACCAAACAAGGGTGTGTTTTTTTCTGTTGGATTACTTTTGGCAAAGGATGTCACTATGTGAAGACATATCCCTATGGCCACTACATATAAATAACATTTCCTCAAACTTCATTCATTGCTGCATATTCCGACCAAACAGTGAATTTTAAATGTCTTTCAAATTAAAACTAACAATGAAGACTTAAATCAATTCAGTAATTACTCCTTTATTTAACATTCATTTCAAAATAGTTAGCTAAGGGCACTATGTCAAGTGGTGGTGATACAGTTCTGATCAATAAGGCCTACTTGGTTCTTGCTGTCACTGAGCTTTCAGACTATGCAGAAATTATTATTGATAGAGCCTGTCTTAGTCTGTTTTAATTGCTGTAACAAAATACCATAAACTGGATAGCTTATAAACAACAGAAATTTAATTTTCCCCTTTCTGGAAAAATACATTTTTTCCAGAATTTCTCCAACTGGGAAGTCTGAGATCAAGGTGCTGGCAGGTTGAGTGTCTGATGAAGGCCCTTTCTCACAGATGGCGTCTTCTTGCTGTGTCTCACATGGTGGAAGGGGAGCGGCAGCTCTCTGTGGACCATTTTCATCGGGGTACTAATTCCATTCATGAAGGCTCTGCCGTCATGCCCTACCTCCCACCATCATCACATTGGTGAATAGGTTTCATCGTATGAATCTTGGCGGGGACACAAATATTCAAACCATAGCAGGTCATGAGCTCTGAGTTTGAAAATGAAAATGAGCATGACATTTTTATTTTATGGTCAACTCATTAGTCTCATTTGTACTCTCACTCTATAAATCCCTTCACAGCAGACTTGCTCTCAAGGAATTTATAGAAAATATAAATGAGAGTAGTCAAATGACAATAATAAGTATAAAATGAGAATAGTAATAGTAGTAATTATATCATAATAAAATAATAAATATAGTTATTAACCATAAACTGAGAATAATAATAATAACTAAAAAGTCATCTAGAGAGGAGATTAATTATTTATAGAATCCCAAAGAAGGCTTTGTACCAGCATATTTGATCCAAGCCTTGAAGGCTAAATAGGATTTAACATGTAGAAATGAAGCAGGAGAGGAAAGAATAGACAAGTTCTTTTTGTTTATTTGTATATAGTTAAGGGTTAACAGTGCAATTTTGTTACATGGATATTTAATTTAGGGGTGCAGCCTGGGCTTTTACTGTAACTGTCACTCCAACAGTGTGTATTGTTCCTGTTAAGTAATTTCTCATTCTTCACCTCCTTCCCACCCTGCCACCCTTTTGAATCTCCAATGTCTATTATTCCACACTCCATGTCCATGTGTAGACATTGTTCAGCTCCCACTTCTAAGTGAGAACATACAGTATTTGTCTTTATGTTTCTGAGTTATTCTACTTAAGGTAATGGCCTCCAGTTCCATCCATGTTGCGGCAAAAGACAGGATTTCATTCTTTTTATACCACTGAAGTGTGTGTATGTGCGCGCACACACACACACCACATTTTGTTTATCTCATCCATTGACGAACACATTTTTTTTTTTTTTTGAGATGGAGTCTTGCTCTGTCGCCCAGGCTGGAGTGCAGTGGCCCCATCTCTGCTCACTGCAAGCTCCGCCTCCCGGGTTCACAACATTCTCCTGCCTCAGCCTCCCGAGTAGCTGGGACTACAGGCGCCCGCCACCACACCCGGCTAATTTTTTTTATTTTAGTAGAGACGGGGTTTCACTGTGTTAGCCAGGATGGTCTCGATCTCCTGACCTCATGATCTGCCCGCCTTGGCCTCCCAAAGTGCTGGGATTACAGGCGTGAACCACTGTGCCTGGGCTGTTTCTGGTTTTTAAAAGAGATTCGAATTTAAAGGTTACTTAGAAGCCACTGGTTACTAAAGCAATGGAAACGATGCTTTTACCTTATTGCTTTAATGTTTTCATTTTAATAGGACTAAACTTTTCATCTGAGTCAAATTAGAGGTTTCTATGGAAGCCTTTGATATCGTAAATCCATATATGCTTTGATAAGAACTTTTTTAGTACTTAAGTTAGAAAGAAGTCCTTTAGGATGTTAGGACTTTGAACTCAGCAACTTTTTACCCCCTAAATGGGTTAGGAAGAAGGGCTAGATATGAGTTTGAAAGGAGTGCTTAAGATCATGGTATAGTGGAGATGTTTCCTATTTGTCAATAGGATGAAATAAAAAGAAAGAAAGGAAAAAAGAATCCCTAAAGCTTCTCTGCAGTCTTTGTTAGTAAGAAATGACAATATTAATATCAATTTCAGAAAGTTGAGCTTATGAACATGTTGGAGTTTAGAAGGGTTGTACAGCATTCTCCAACTTTCCAGCTTGTATTTTCATTCTGAGATAAAATCTAACTAGATTTACTAATTTAATCTCTCATAATATTTTTTATCTTCCCATTTACAGAGCAGGAAAAGATTAATGGCTAGCCTAAAAGACTCCCATTTGAACTTAGAAGCTTAATATTCAGTTGAAAGAGGAATAAAGCCTAATAAGAATGAGTGATATTTTGTAGAGGTAAGATTCAGCAGCTCACTCCAAATTAAGGAAATAAGTCAACGTTTCACTGGAAAAAACAAAATACACAACAGGATTTTAAAAAATCAACAAGAAAATAGAGAAGAGAGCAACTTCATCCTTCCTAACTGCCCGTAGTTTCCTCTCTCTACCTTCTCAGTCTCAGATAAAAGAAGAGCAGAGTGAGTGTGACCTTTCAGTACCCAGTCTTCAGGCTGACCCTCTGAAGGTAAGACAACACTCTTAGATTGCAGATAAGATAAGAAGAGATTCAAAAAGAGCTCACACATGGGCAAAGAGAAGAGCTGCCATGTCTAATATGAGCAAAATGAGAAGAAATAGGATAACAACTATGAGAAGTTCCTATCATTATTTAAAAAATGAAATAAATGACCTTCTCATGTGTAGTACTCCAAATGAGAACATGCCCTAGAAAGCAAAAGAAAAACATTCACAACTAATGCTTTGCATTTTAAAAAAAATTATAAAATGTATAGAATATATAAAACCATAACTCAAAGATGAAAAGATAACAGACAAGAGAATAGTATGGGAGAACTAGGAAAATGAATTGACTATAAAAAGACATAATATTGGAACTAATAAAAAATAGTGAGGTAGGCATTGTTCAAAATTAAACCATGACAAAGAGGCTGGAAATAACTCAGATAATGCAAAGAAAAAAGATAAAGCATGAAAGAATTTACAGAAAATATGGTCAATATAATAAAAAACCTCTTCTGGATTTAAAAAAAAACACACAGAAAAATATTCCAAGATATAGTGATAAAACAACCACCCCCACAACCCAGCTTTTCCACTAGAAAGAAATCAGTAAGTTGTAACATCTGAAAATGGAAAGGTGCACCATGTTCCATGGCGATCAATATCAATCTATATAAGGCGAACTTACTGATTCTTAGGGATACTTAAATGTTCAGGATTCAAGAGAAAAAGTGAACTAAACACCAGACTGGTTTCAGAAATTTTCCATGCAAGCTTTCAGTGCCAGAGGACAGTGGAGGAATATTTAGACTGTTGAGAGAGAAAAAAAATTTGAATAAAAATATTGATACCCGGCTCATTTCAGTTAAGGTATGAAGATTACAGATGGATGGTCTTGGAAATGCAAGGACCTACGGAATACAGCATCCATGAATTCTTCCTGGAAAAAGTACTTAATGTAGAAATCCAATCAATTAAGAGATGAATAAACATGTAGAAAGAACTTGGAGCTGTACTTGGAATTGAATTTAATCAGGGTTGATATTTTGTTAGATGAGTGTAAAGAAGAAAAAGCGTATGAAGGGGCTGAGGGTATGTGCGGTAGTCATTTTGATGGTAGGTCATGGGATCTAAGCAGGGTAAGGAGGGAAGGGAGGGCGTGAGATGCATGTTGGAGCATAAAAAGGTGGCCAGCTCAGTGGATTGACAGATACAGTGAGTTTGACATTGCATTGAGTAATAGGAGTGAAGCTTACTGGAATTATTATAATTCCATATCCCTTCCATAATTCCAATGATCATAATTCCAACTTAATTGGAAGTCATCATAGGAAGTAATTATCAGAGAAGGGGGTGATCGAAACCCAGATATTGAAGATGGTGTAGTTGTTAGTGGAAGAGGCAGGATGTAGGAGAAAATTATGGAAAGCAAAGAGGTTAAGAAACTGGAGGGGCAAGATGTTGACTCTACAGGCATAGTGAGTTACCGAAATTGATGATAGCAGTTGAAAGAAAGTCATAGCTGAGTGCTACAATTCTCAGCACATTAAGGGCATCATGTTCTGATGGCATGTGCTCTGACTTATCAAGGGAGTTTTAAGAAATAGGGGGTAAGATGTTTGGATGTAGCAAGAAGGAAAAAGTCTGACATCTAATCTACCTTTAGGTTTGGTGGCACATATAGTATGGAGAAAAATCACCTCTACTTGAGAGAGTTACATAATATCAGTGTTCCTAGAAGACAGACTGCGTTCATGAAGAAGGATGAATAATGCTCAAAGAAGAGGCTGAAGATATTATAGATTACACTGATGAATATGAGTTTCAGAGAAGGAATATAGGGGACTTGGGAGAGGTTGGGTATTGGATTTAGATTGTGGATGTACCAAGTGTTAGGAGGTTAAAAATCTGGTAGAGCAGTGTGTTTGATAAGATTGGATTGTTGAGGTGAGTGGAATGAAGGCATAATGTTGGGCTCTTGGGAGCAACGAGGGAACAGTGAATTACATGTTCCATATAATAGACTACTTTTTGTCACTGGCCTGTAAGTTACTTTACGGTGGTCAATGAGAATGCCGTAGGGGTTTGTAGGTGAGAGTGAGTAGGAAAGGTGGTTTTACCAAGAACACAGGCTGTTCTCTGGGCCTCTTTAAGTCTCATCTAAGGTGGTAAGACCAGAAGAAAACAGTATTACTTGTGCCACAACAGAACATTTCTTGTACAAAGCCAACATAAAAGCATTATCAAAACCTAAGACACACACACACACACACACACACACACACACACACACCCCTATGACCAATCATACTTATAGATAATGATTCACAATTTTTAAATGAAGCATACCTAATAGATGTACTTTTTTTTTTTTCTTTGAGAATGATGGATGTTCAAATAGGATTTTTTTTTTTTTTTTTTTTTTTTGTGGGGTGAGTTCTTGGCTGCCCTCTGCTGCAATCCTCTCATGGGAGATTCACTCTCCAGCTAACTTCTTGTAATTCATCCTCAGAGCCTCTGTGGGGCAGGATAGATAGTCATGGAAATAGCCATGTCCTTGGGATGCATCCACTATGGTGTCCTTGAGATGCATCTACCATGGTGACCATACAGTCAAAACAATAAGCCCCCTCATTTGCACTGTAGTGCAGCTCATTCAAGCAAAGCTATCTCCAGTAGGGAATTTCCCCAGTAGGGAGCATGTGCACTTTGATTTTATCTGTCCTCAGACTGACCCTGTGCTCACTATAATACTAAAAAACACACACCCTGGGTGGAGATTTAAAATGGTAATGAGATACGTGACATATGAACAAACTTGTACAGCTACTGTGCCTATGTGCCCAGAGGACCACCCAGACACCTCTTCCTGCTTGCTCATGGACAATTATGTAAGATTCCCATAAAGGGAGTCTTCCTAGTGCCAGTCTTTGCTGTCTTGTCCTCACGGGCAGGTCATCCTGACTCCCCTCTCAGTGTGTATTGCCTATTCTGCACTTAACTTTCAAAATATTTGTTTTTCCTTTGCAATGAATTACTCTATGCTGCATCTCTTTTCCTGTGTGTCGCTTGTTTAAATTATTTTAAACTAAGAAGAAAAGAATCGAGGTCTCACAACAGGCATCAACACCCAAAGGTACCACCCATAGCTTCTTATTGCTGAGGTCCCCTTACCCTAGCTGTTTGTTTTGTTTCTTATTTTTATTTTTTGGGAATGAGCTCTTCAGGGGACTTTGACCTGTTGAACTTTTCTAGAACATCCACTTTTCTCTCAGGCAACTCATGCATCATTGCCAATCTAAATTATGAAAGAATAGCTGCCTTCTTTACTGCGCTTTTCTTGTCCTGACATTGTAAGCAGCTGACAGGATAGATTTCTGCATTTGCTCTACTCAGCCTTAAGTCAGACACCAGCTTCTTTGCTTCTCACACAATAGGTAGCGCTACAGGTGGTCTTCTCAAATCTCCTCTTTCTAGACTTCTGGCAAAGAGGAGTAGGTGGGAGAATGCCTCAACTATCCAGCTTTCACATATTTCAGCCTCTTCTACTACCACCCCTTGACTGATTGGGAACTAAGGCTCATAAAAAGCTTTTAAACATCATTTTTGCAAATTTGAACGTTTAATTTTGTTTCTGAGCCTTTGGGGACCTCACCAAAAGTTGGGGCAAGAAAAGTTTCCTATTTTAACGTGCTGTTAGATACTGTTATTTCCAAAGAACTAGATATATCCTTAGCAAAGGTCCTCCACTCTTTCTGCCAAGATCTCAGTCTATGAACAATACAAGCTTAAATGGGATTATCAAATATATACTACTTATATATTAAAGGTATTGATTTCATTTTGACTGTACTTGAAATTAGTATAGTGAAGTAGTTGGTCTTTATTAGACTGACAAAGTTTTGATTCTGGCCCCATAAGTTATGACCCTTGTGCAAGGGAATTTATCACTCTGTAAAATGATGATAATGGTCCGCTTCATATTGTTTTCATGGAGATTAAGAGTTAAAATATGTTAATATGTGTTAATCATGTCAAATAAATAGTACCAATTCGATACAACCTTTTCCAGAAAATCTTTCCAAAGAAATTTCAAGGGAACTATAAACCAATGGCTAAATAAACATGGATGCACACATTTTGCAAAAAGTTTAGTAAATTGAACCCAACTTTTTTTTTTTTTTTTTTTTTTGAGACAAGGTCTTGCTCTGTTGCCCAGGCTGGAGTGCAGTGGCGATCTTGGCTCGTTGCAACCTCTACCTCCCGGATTCAAGCAATTCTTCTGCCTCAGTCTCCCAGGCAGTTGGCATTACAGGTGGGCACTAGCTAATTTTTGTATTTTCAGTGGAGACGGGGTTTCGCCAGACTGGTCTCAGACTCCTGGCCTCAAGTGATCCACCCACCTTGGCCTCCCAAAGTGCTGGGATTACAGGCATGAGCCACAACGCCCAGCCAAACCTAACAGTATTTTAAAAAGGTACCACATAATGATCCAGTAGAATTCATCCAAGACTGCAAGGTTGGTTTAACACTGAAAATAAACCTATGTAATTCACCACATTAACAGATTACAGACGAACCATATGATCACCTTAGTAGATGTGGAAGAAGCTTTGGCAAAATCCAACATTCATTTCTGAAAAAAACACTATTAGCAGAGAAGGAAGCTTTGTTAACCTAATAAAGGGTATCTGTGAGAAACCTACAGTTAACATCAAACTTAATGGTGAAAGACCGAATGCTTTCCTTCCAAGGACAGAAAGAAAATAAGGATGTCGGCCGGGCGCGGTGGCTCAAGCCTGTAATCCCAGCACTTTGGGAGGCCGAGACGGGCGGATCACGAGGTCAAGAGATCGTGACCATCCTGGCTAACGCGGTGAAACCCCGTCTCTACTAAAAAAAATACAAAAAAAAAAAACTAGCCGGGCGAGGTGGCCGGCGCCTGTAGTCCCAGCTACTCGAGAGGCTGAGGCAGGAGAATGGCGCAAACCCGGGAGGTGGAGCTTGCAGTGAGCTGAGATCCGGCCACTGCACTCCAGCCTGGGCGACAGAGCGAGACTCCGTCTCAAAAAAAAAAAAAAAAAAAAAAAGAAAATAAGGATGTCTGCTTTAATCACTTTTGTTCACTTATTGTACTAGAGGTTCTTATTCAATGCAATAGGCAAGATAAACAAACAAAAGTCATACCGATAAAAAAGGGAGAAGTAAAACCAATTGTATCTACAGATGACAAGATACAAATACAAAATTAAATTGTATTTGTGTATATGGGTGGCAAACAATTAGGAATATAAATTTAAAAAGTACATTAAAAATAGCATTGAAATAATGAGGAAAACACTTAATGAAAGATTCTCAAGACCCATACTTGGAAAACTACTGATCATTGCTAAGATAACTTAAAGAAGGCCTAAATAATTGGAGAATATACTGTGTTTTGATCATAAGTTTCAATGTTATTAATTATCCTCAAAATGATCTACATATGTAACACAATGATAACCAAAACCTTAGAAAGCCTTTTGTTCAGGCAATTAACATTATTCTAAAATTTATATGGAAATGGGAAGGACGTAGAAATTCTGACACAATGTTGAAAAAGAAGAAAGTTGGAGGTCTTCATTAACTGATTTTAAAACTTAGTATATAAATGTGCAGTGAGCAAGAGAGTGTGATTTTGGTGTAAGGATAGAAAAAGAGGTTAATAGAGTGTGTTCAATGGGGAAAAGTATAATCTTTGCAACAAATGGTTTGGGAACAATCATGTAACCACATGCAGAAACCCAATAATCAACTCTTACCTCCCAACATCAACAAAAATTACATTGAAATGGTGCATAGACTTAAAAATAAAAGCTAAAATTGCTGGGTGTGGTGGTCATGCCTGTAATTGTAGCACTTTGGGAGGCTGAGACAGGCAGATCACCTGAGGTCAGGAGTCTGAGACCAGCCTGGCCAACATAGTGAAACCCCATCTCTACTAAAAATACAAAAATTAGCCGA